GTCTGGGCAGTTCCTTCAGGTCCAAGTGGTGGCATTAATCCAGGCATTACTGGAAGATGAGCAGGCCAGCTCTGTGAAGGGCTCAGTCCTGGAGTGCTGCGAGGGCAGCTGTTTTGCAGCTGCCCATTAACACCCTGAAAGTATTTCTAGGATGGGCTGGAAAAGCAGGGTCAGTGCTTGGGAGCTGGGTCCTGCCAGGGAAACTCGGTGCAAATGACACCAGGACACGTGTGTGGTCAGCAGGGACCCAGCATGAGCCTGATGCCATCCAAGTCGCTGGGAAGTTGGGAAGACAGAGCCTTTGTGCAATGGGAAGAGCTTAATGAGCTGTGGGCTGGTTTCTCACCTCCGGTCACCTTGGCTCAGGTCCAATTTTCAGCCCTAGATTAAGTGAGCTTGGTGATCTACAGGCACAACACGGTGACTGACAGCTCATCTGCGGCTGCACTGCTGTGTTCACACGTCCAGCCGGGGCTGGGGAGGCACTGAAGGGCCAGGCTTTGCCCTTCCTCCAGCAAAAAAAGCTCTGGAGCAGCCAGAGTTGGTGTTCTGACAGGAGAGGACCTGCACATCCCTAGCACGGGGACACTGCTGGGTGACAGACTGGGCCAAATGACAGCTGGCAATGCAGCTTAAGTGAGAAATGGGACATACAGGTTGCAAATGGGCTTTTAACAGCACGGAAAAGAAGGCACGAAATGTTTTGAAAGAATAAACAGATACCAGGGAAGTGTGACTATCCCACAGATCCCACACTGTCGGAGGAGTTGCCAGTGACTGATGTGCCATGTCTGGGCACGTATCATGTGAGGGGAAGTACGAACATGTGAGCACACATGACCATCTCCTGATGTGATTTACAAGCGGAGGAGAAAGCGATTCCTTACAAGACAATGAGAACTAACACTTAAGAAATGCAAGGCCCGTGTCTTTTGGCCCACACTCCCTGAGCTGCCTGCACAGTGGGTTCTATTTTCCATCAAACCCATCCAGAGCTCTGCTGAAGAGAAAGTTTCATCCGCATGTGCGTGAGCATGTGTACGCGCGTGTTCTAAGTGTTTTGCATTATGTGAGCTCTGACCTTCAGAGGGGAACAGAAGGAATATTTTCCCCCCTGAGGCTAGAGTTGTCAGTGAAATGTCTGTCTTCCTTAATAATTTCAATCCGGGTGACAGGGGACAGGGCATTTTGCTCTGAACGAACGTACTGTAAAAACTGTCAGATAGAATTTGTCTCAAGAAGCAACATTTCTATCCATTCGGGGTCATAATTACAGGCATCTTATGACCTGTGGAGCAGCACATTTTTCTCAACTGAAAAAAAAGGAGTCCTAAAATAGGTGGTTTAGTCTTCTGCAGAGCTTTGGATTGAACCTAAATGGAATCTAACAAACAACGGTGATCTGCAGCAGAGTGCTTTCTTCATGTTTGCTGGCTGCTTTTTTAAATCCAGAACAAACTGCACTGAAGTGACGTAGCAGAAAAGAGGGACAGAAATTGCCATTCACTGGGCTGGAGTAATGGCCTATTTCTCCTATATCCTGTCTGCTAACTGCCTGCCTCTCAGAATTTCCTCCACACTGACACTAGCCAGCGTCTTGTTAATGAACTGAATAAGTAACTAAATGGGTGATTAACCAAATGAGCATGACGATAATTTGATTGCGCTTTCCCCACTTTTCAAGCACAGGAAATAGTAAGAAAAGAAATAATTCAGTGACCAGCAGGAATTCAAACAGTACAGAGCTAGAGGAACTGGGGGAAGCTTTGACTAGATGTGGCTGTCAATAAATCCCCCACAGCACTGCAGAAATCTCTGGCTAAATGTTTAGATTTCTTGATTTGTGTTTCCACACAGGAGAAAAAACTATTCATTGGTTTGAAACAGCTTTTACTTTTATGGTTTGATTTTATAATTAGCAACAATCATGAAATTGATCGTCCTGCTGTTATGTGCAGTTATGAGTCACACACAACTCAATGCTGGACATCATTTTGGGGTCACCAGCCTGGGTTTGTGTAGCAGAGCCTGCAGTGCCTGCTGCTTTCCCACCTCACTGAGGTCTGAGTGACAAATCAGACTGGGAGAGGGAACCCAAAGGTACCACAGTGGGGAGATGGTCTTCACTGCTGGAGAGGGAGAAAAGCGAAAACTGAGAGATAACACCCTGTCCTCAGCCATCCCATTGGGGTGGATAATCCTCTTCCCCACCCCAAGCAGACAATGGTGACCATGACAGAAGCACAGGGAAGGAGCATCCAGCCGAGGAGCAGGGCCCCAGCTGGACTCTGGAATGCTCTCACCCACAAGATCAATCCTGCCAGAGATACAAACGTTAATCAGCTGTTGGCAGGGCAGGTTACAATCCATTTTCACCTGCACACTCCGATGGATGCCCTGTTCTTGCCATCACAGGTGGAGGGAAAACACTGCGCGGTGAGCCTGGGAGTGAGGAGCAGAGCAGCTCTGGGAGGCAGAGGGATGCCTGTGGGATTCACAGATCCAGGCACGGACATTCCCCATCACGTTTGACAAGAATGGTGACCCTTGGAATGAGTTTTGCTGGTGGTGGGCAAGGAGGAAGGTGTCTGCACACTGATGTTAGCCTGGGAAATGTCTGAAGGGAAATGGGGCACTCCAAGATCAGAACAATCATTTTGGAATGCTGCTGTACCCCTGAAAGCAGGCACTGAAGGGAGATGCCGACAGCCTGCTCTGCATGCCAGGAGAGCCAGGCTCAGGATTGAAATCCCACTGACAAACACCTCCATCCAGGTAGTGTCTAACGCTGTCAAAATAAACATGTGAAAGAGATTCTCTAGCTTTGCTCACTAAAAATTCAGCAAGAGCTGCTCTCTAGGCATTGTGGGGGGAAGGTTAAAGCCACACTTGGCACCAGGATTGCCACAGGCTGGGCATGGGATGAACAAGGCAAGGCTTGTCCCTGCCCATCCTGAGGGGAATCTGTTAAAAGACACCGTGTTTGGGCCTATAGAAAGTCAGTTCCGGGAGCTCTGTGGAGCCCAGACAGGGAGATTAGGAGCAAAGCCCCATGTAAGCCTTGCAGGGTTCATGTTGGGGTTGGTGATCCGAACCGCCCGCTCTGGCAGCTGGAGAGAAGCTCAGTGAATCAAGACATTTCTATTCCCATCCACTCCATCACCCTGCCCTGTGATCTCCTCAATCATTTCTCCTCTCTGCACCTTCATTTCCTGCACCTGAAACAGCAGGAACATGCGGGTTCTTTACTTCTCTGGCAAGCAGGGGTTCCTGCAGGAAACGTCATCCAGGCATTTCAGTAACTGTAACATCATCTTTACTAACATCACATTGAGAGACTGCTCAAACAACCCCTGGAAGGACAAATCCCTCCCATCTCACCATCCTGGTCACACCACAGCCCCACACTGGTCATATGAGATGGAGACTGAGCAGAAAGCAGAGCCCAGATCCCTCAGGACAGCGTTTCCCAGCCCAAGGCAGCAGCAATGCACCCAGGAGGGCTCAGCATCTGGAAGGAGAACAGGATATTGGGATCACCAACTGGGAGAGAGAGGGATTGTCCCTTTGGCTGTGGGGAAGCAACTTCAATGGTTTTGGGGCACATGGACACTGTCCATCCCCCTGTGCTGGCACTGCTGGGCTGCACGTTGGATCCTGGGGCAGTTCTGGGCCCTTCATGGCAAGAGAGACATCGAGGGGCTGGAGCGTGTCCAGAGAAGGGAACAGAGCTGGGGAATGGCTGAGAGAGCTGGAGAGGCTCAGCCTGGATAAAAGAAGGCTCAGGTGGGACTTTTTGGCTTTGCACAAACTCCCTGACAGGCAGGCGGGTGAGGTGGGGCCATCTCTCCTACTATGAGAAGAGTGAGCTCAGCGAAGGACAAGAGGAATTGGCTTCAAGCTGAGACAGAGGAGATCCACATCAGATATTGGAAAAAATGTTCGTTGTTTGCACGGTCAGACATTGGAACAGGCAGCCTGGGGTGGTGGTGGAGTCACTGTCCCTGGAGGTGTCCAAGAGGAGCTGGGTGATGTGGCTCCAGAGGCAGCGCTGGTTGAGGGACTGAATGATCTTAAATCCAACCTTGATGATTCCATGAAAATCTTATGTGGATGCAGAACTTGGGGACATGGTTTAGTAAAGGGCATGGTGGCAGTGCTGGGCTGAGGGTGACCTTGGAGGTCTTTTCCAACCTCAGTGCCTCATTCAGCCACACTGCGTCTCTGGGATCTTTTCCATATTTAACCATCCCGTTATTCCAAAGGGATGGAACCCACAGCCCTCAGATTTGAGGTCACCCCATCCTTTTATTCCAAAGGGATGGAGCTCGACCCCCTCAGATTTGAGGCCACCATCCTTTTCCACCTTTAACCACCCAGCAATTCCAAAGGCATGGAACTCGACCCCCTCAGATTCGAGGACACCTCATCCTTTTCCACCTTTAACCATCCCCTTATTCCAAAGGGATGCAACTCAACCCCCTCAGATTTGAGGCCAGCATCCTTTTCCACCTTTAACCACCCAGCAATTCCAAAGGCATGGAACTCGACCCCCTCAGATTTGAGGCCAACCCGTCCTTTTCCACCTTGAACCATCCCGATATTGCAAAGCGATGGAACCCACAGCCCTCAGATTCGAGGCCAGCCCATCCTTTTCCACATTTAACCGCCCCAATATTCCAAAGCAATGGAACTCGACCCCTTCAGATTCGAGGCCACCCCGTCCTTTTCCACCTTTAACCATCCCATGATTCCAAAGGGACGGAACTCGACCCCCTCAGATTCAGGGCCACCCCATCCTTTTCCACATTTAACCGTCCCGATATTCCAAAGGGACGGAACTCGACCCCCTCAGACTCAGGGCCACCCCATCCTTTTCCACATTTAACCGTCCCGATATTCCAAAGCGATGGAACTCGACCCCCTCACATTCCCTCCCCTCAGGGCTCCACGGCCCCGCGCGGGCGGGCGGCTCTCGCGAGCGCTGACGCCATCGGCGCGCGCGGGCGCGCAGGCGCGGCGGGGCGGGCCGGGCCGCGCTGTGTCACGGCCATGGAGTACCTCATCGGCATTCAGGGCCCTGACTACGTCCTGGTGGCCGCGGACACCGTGGCGGCCACCAGCATCATCCAGATGAAGCACGGTGAGACCCTGGGAGGCGCCGGGGCCCCGTGCTGAGCCGTGGCTCGGGAGGGTGTCGCAGGGCCCCGGGCGTGCCCGCGGTGGGCCCGCCGCTCGGGCTGAGGGGAGGCTGTTCACGGGGAGGAGATTTCTCGGTGTGAGCGCTGCAGGGCCCTTCAGGGAGCTGTAGTGGCTGTAGGAAGTGCCAGGCGGCCTCTGGAGCACGGAGCCAAAGCGGGGCTGAAATCGCCTCTTGCTCCGGGTAAAGTCCCCAGTCGTGACCGCGTGTGACCGCTCTGTGTTGGGTTGTCAGCTTAATTTACCTGTTCAGGTGAGCGCTGATTTGTGATCCCAAACCTCGCTCTGAGCAGCAGTGTTCAAGTGTTTTAAAACCGTAAAGGGATAACGATGTGTGACAGGAGGTGCTCACTTGTGCCCAGTTCAGTGGTAAAACGTAATTAATGGGAGAAAAGGCATTGTGGGGACTAAAAGTATCAGTGAAATTCACAGCACAGGGAGCAGGAGCCAGACTGAAACATGGCTTTGGTTTCTTTGTATGGTAAGACATCTAGGGTGTCACCAAGTCTCTTTAAAAAAATTATTTAAATTCTCTAAAATCAATTTTTTTTCCTGCTAGACTGAAGCTTGTTCTATCCTAAAGACTGTGCTTTAGTAGCTCTTTTAAAAAAAAGTTGTAGAACAGAAGATTGCTAGATCCATACAAATGAATATAAATAAGTCTATATAAAAATGTTATAGCACTGCTTTTACATCAAATGTTTCACTTCAAGTCTGTGATAGCCAATTGGAGCAGTGTTACAGGCTGTGGTACATACAAAATAAAAATTTAATCACTTTAAATAATGTTTTCTAAGTTAATATTGGTTCCAGATAGGTTTGTTCACAACCTTTAAGAAATATGTACTTTGAACATAGGATTTAGTTGTTTTTGCTGGGGGGGGGGAACCCATAATTTTCAGATCTATATTTAGGCTATTTATTTGTAAATTAATTTCAGCCTGAAGAAGTTTTGAGGTGACCTAATTGCCCTTCCAGTACCTGAAGGGAACCTGCAGGAAGGATGGAGAGGGACAATTTACAAGGGCCTGGAGTGACAGGACACAGGGAATGGCTTCCCACTGCCAGAGGGCAGGGCTGGATGGGATATTGGGAAGGAATTGTTCCCTGGCAGGGTGGGCAGGCCCTGGCACAGGTGCCCAGAGCAGCTGTGGCTGCCCCTGGATCCCTGGCAGTGCCCAAGGCCAGGCTGGATGTGGGGTATGGAAGGTGTCCCTGCCCATGGAAGGGGATGGGCTTTAAGCTCCTTTCCAACCCAAAGCAGTCTGGGATTGCAGGGCTGGGCAGTGTCGGTGGCTTTCCCTGAGCTCCAGACAGCAGCTCCAGTGCTGTGATGACTTTTGACATCGTTTTAGAGGATTGTGACACTTGGTGCCTGCCTTGCAGCAGAGATTGTTCAGCACCATTTAGTGAGCTGGAGGGGAAGCTCAGAGCTGGAGGCTTGGTGTTTGTGCAAGGATTTTCCCTTCACTCCAGCAGCTGCTCAGTGTCTGCCTGGGGTATCCAAGTGCCAGGTACCTGCTCTGGTGAGAGGAGACTCTGTGAGCACAGGATTGTCTTCAGCACTGTCATTGCAACAACTTGGATCCCCTCAACACAAACTTAAAACTGTTTTAAACTGCACTTTGATCTAAAAATATGGATTACTGTTCCTTCATTTCCTGCTTATAGGTCAGCTTCATTATGATTTATAATAATTATTTTAATTTTCATTCTCTTTGATAGTTTGGTTTGGTTTTTTCCACAAAAAATGACAAGCAAAAGAAATGTTTCTGGAAAAGCTTCATTCACATATGCTTCTGGTTTTTGGGACTGCTGGATATAAGTAAAAGGGCATCATTTGACACGGAGTTTGTTTCTGGATTTCCTAAAATTGCTTTTGCTCAGTGTGTTGATATTTCAACTTTTTATAAATTAGTTGCTTCTGTTGCAGAATATTTGAATAAAGTTGAGTAGTCACTGAGCAAAATTCTTACTTCTGATCCCAGGAAGCAAACCCTTATGCTTTGAACACAATATTCTGTGTGAAGCTTTATTCTTTCCTACCTTGCTTCTAAGGTAAGAAATACTATCTATTTCTGGAATGCCTCCCTCCTGAAGGGCTTTGTTTCACTTTAACAACTCTTGTGTTCTGTGCCACCAGCTGTGAGACACCAAATGTCAGTGTGTGCTCAAAAAGGCTTTTTATCATGGTGCTCCAGGTCATGATGCAGTTATCCACATGTCTTTCTTGCTTCTGTAAAGTCCTGATGTGTCATGATATTGGCAAAATAATTTATTCTTCCTCGTGATCCATGGCACTCAATGTTATTTTTCTTTGCCTAGACCATGACAAAATGTTTAAGATGAGTGAAAAGATCTTACTGCTGTGTGTGGGGGAGCCTGGAGACACGGTGCAGTTTGCAGAATACATCCAGAAAAATGTTCAGCTCTACAAAATGAGAAATGGTGAGTGAAGCAGGACAGGCCCTGTGGGTTGGGAGCAGAGCTAAGAGTGGTTTCCAGGTGAATGTTCGTGGAAAGGGCTGTTCTCAAACCTTCTGTAAAGATTTCTGCATTTTTAGTTCCCAGCAAAGGTGATAATTCAGGCAGGATGCAGAATTAGAATCTGGATTGTACCGTATAAATTAAATGGTTTATCCAAATCCTATCAAACTTCTTTGCAATATAAATGACACAAATATTTTACTGACAGACTTACTATTCTCCTAATATGTCCATTGCATGCTAACTGTTACCAGGACTGCTGATATATTGGACAAAAAAGTCAAGCTACATGTCCTTAACACTTGAATTTTTTGAAGCCATGTATTTCTATGGTCCATACAGATATGAAATACCCAGAGTCTGAGGGCCCTGTTCATGCCTGTAGCTTTCAGAATAAACCAGAATTAGACAAAAGGCACTACATTTTATCACTAAAGAACATTTTGTTATTTCAAAAAAGGCATGGGAAGGTGGGAGATGAAACATGAATGATTTGTTACCAAATAAATAGTCCCATTTCTTCTCCAGGTTATGAATTGTCTCCCACTGCAGCTGCAAACTTCACCCGGCGAAACCTCGCGGACTATCTGCGGAGTCGGGTGAGTAAAGCTGAGAGATTCTGGCACAGGCTTCCAGGGAACATTTCCATCCTCAAATAATGGAGTCTGAAAAAGGTGGGAGCTGCTGTTTTTAGTGATGAATTTGGAACTGGCTGCTCAGGGATGTAGTGGGGTCAAGGAACAACTGGATGTTGCATTCAGTGCTCTGGTCTGGGTAACAAGGGGTTGATGGGTCATGGATTAGAATCTATGATCTTGGAGGTCTTCTCCAACATCACTGATTCTGATATTCTGTGAGTTCACATTGCTGAAATAATGTCTTAGTAAAATAGAGCTTGATTTGCTTATTTTAAAAACTTATCACATCACTTATCAATAACTGATACAGCCATAGACTTAAAATTCCAGCCTTGGGCCCGGTAAACATTTTGTCACACACTGCAGACGTGAAGTGAATTAAACTTCTTGAACATCGAGATAAGGTTGTGGGTTTTCATGCAAATGCTCCAAATCCGTTTAATCTTCTTGGAAAGTGATTTCATAGAGCAAAGCTGTTTGATGTACTTAGGAAAACAAGTGCCTTTTGTAAACAGCAACATGAGACTTTTGGTAAATACCACATCCAAGCTGGGGTTGTGTTTTCAAGTTACTGTACTGCAATTAGCAATGTTTCCCAGGGTGATTTTTTTCAAAGTATGAAAAGCTGCTGTGAGGGGGCAAACAAACCTTTAATGATCTAAGGTTAGGAAGCATTTCATTGAGAAGAATGTTAATGTGCTACATGAAAGAAAACAGGAAGAAAGAGGATGTTGAGAATGAAGTTGATCAGCTCTGTCAGGAATAGAGTGTGGGTTAAACTGTGTTGCTGTTCTAACAGTGCACTGCTCGGGCCTGAAATCAGGTTTTACAGTAGCAAATAAAGGCCAGTATTAACCTCAGAGCTGTATTGTTGAGAACTACACACGTGGGGTGAGAGTTCTTCCAGAACTCATGCACAGGAACAGCCAGAGATTATTGTTCTCCTTTCTGATGCATAATGCAGCTGCAGGTAGAAATTTTTTCTTGTGGGTCCCTTCCAACTCAGGATATTCTGTAATCTCACACTGCTCTTCTGGTTTAAATGGCTTCATCCAACTGCATGGTTGGCAGGTGATGGTTGGCAGTGATGCTGTTTGCTTTAGCTTGTGTTGAGCTGTGATTTGGAAGGTCTGTGTGTGTTCTGTGCATTCCTGTGCAGTTTCAAGGCTGATGTGAAGCAGTGATGCTATTGGGGCCTGGCCCTGGTGCTGATGGCTCATCTCAGGGACATCTGACCTACACAGATGAGTCTGAGTGTCCTGTCCTTTTCAGCAGAGGCAGCTATTTCTTACATATGATTTAAAGTACCTTTAACAGGCTTTTTGGTAAACCTGCCCATCAGGAGGCATCACTGACGTGGCACCTTTGTCTTCCTCTCTGCCACGTCCCTTGGGGCCTGATCCTCCCTGTGGCTCCACTCCTTGCTGAGCCCACGCCTGTCTTCCAGCTCACCTTCTCCAGATGGGCAGCAGAGTGGGGAGGACACTGACAGAGGCAGATGTGTTTATTTACCAGAGACAAAACGCTGCTCTGGTGCAGATGGCAACGCCCCAGGGCGCGCGGCGCTCTCTGACACTGCTGTCACACTACACTGATCTCCACATTGCAGGAAGAAGCTTTTTTCTCTAACTTAGCACTTCGTGGTTTGTTTGTAGCATTTAGAATTTTACAATACAAGCCTTGCCATGAGGGTTGGGGTTTTTTTACTATGAATTTTTTTACATTTTCATCATAATATGTGGGATACCAGAAGGATTAATGCTGGTGCTTGAAACTGCATAAGGGATTTCTGGAGGCTACTAATGTAATCATGTGAATCATGAAAATAAAAATTAAAAGGTAAAACATGCCAGTGCCTCCTGTTAGGAGTGGGAAAATAGTTGAGAAGTTAAAGGTTTGGTAGGGAAAAGGTAGTTTGTTGCTTTATTGGCACTCACTGTGTGAAGCTGTTACAGGAGGTCAGAAGGTGTATGAAAGGGAAGGTTAAACTGCAGCAGGACTTTCTCAGGCATTTAGACTCTTGTTGTGGCCAAGATCAAAACAGAGTTTGTTCTGCATTGTTCATCACCATCTGGGTTCCTCCCTGTTATCCAGTTTGATTTCATTTAGGATTCCCATTAGTCCTGTAGTCCATATTCTTGATATCTTGGGGACAGCTCACAAGGCAGTGCCTTGAAATTGTTCTTCTGGTGGAAAGTACCAAGTGTAATGACACTGGGCTTGTATCTTAAGGCCATTACATCACTGTTGTTTTTGCTTCTACTTGATAGTCACCATGTGGTTTTTCATGACATTTCTCTTTTTAAAACACAAGATTTCTGCTCCAAAGCAGGATCTGAAAAGAATCTTTGTGGTTTGTGATCAAGGCAAACCTGGAAGGTGCTTTGGCTTTCACGGAGGTGAGTGATGCTGTAGTGTGTAGTGGCAGGACAAGGGTGAATGGCCTTAAGCTGAAGGAGAGCAGGGTTAGATTGGATATTGGGAAGGAATTGTTCCCTGTGGGGGTGGGCAGGCCCTGGCACAGGGATCCCAGAGAAGCTGTGGCGGCCCCTGGATCCCTGGAAGTGTCCAAGGCCAGGATATTGGAAGAGGAAGAACCTGGGATAGTGGAAGGTGTCCCTGCCCATAGCAGGGGGTGGAATGAGATGAGCTTTAAGGTCCCTTTCAACCCACACCATTTCAGGATTCTGTTGTTACCTGTTCCAGCACCTCACCTGGTTCACCTGCTGAATCCAGTGCAGGGTTTGGTACATTGAACTCACTGCTGAGGCTATGTGTGTTGGGGAAGTAGGAAAAAAAGCCCCCTGCCCTCCAAACGTGATGAAGTTCAGTCTCTGATTGTGATGCTGTTTAATTATAGGTGGCAGGGTCTGGCTGGATTCCAAAGGCAGCTTTCAGCTCCTCTCCCCATGTCCACACTTGGCAGGAGGCTTCCTTGCTCCCACCTTTCCCCCCTCGCTGTGACTTTGGCTTCCGCCAGATGTCACAGGGCTGTGTCACCACCGAGCTGGGGTTGGGCTCTTTGGCACAACTGTGCTCTTCAGCTGTAAATTCTGAACAATTTCACACATCTCCTAATTGCTGTCGTTATTTTAAATCAAACAGCACCAAGTGCAAAACTACTTGGGATGAAAAATGGTGCTTCTGTAGGAAGGGAAGATTGAGTTAAAAAAAATTCCTAGAGTGTTAGCCATCACTCATTTGATGGCCGTTTAACCACACCAACCTTGTAAAGAGTTGAGAATTGTTGGCATGGACCAAGTTACAGAAGTCAAGAAAGGCTGCCTTTGGAAAGGACAAAAGGTTTGGGATGTACAAGAAATTCAGTCCCAGCATCGAGGTGTTATGCTGCAAATTTCATTTATAATCATGGAAGTAGTAAATAGATTATGTATATTTGCTAATGTTTAAATCCTGCCTTTCTAGAATAATAAGGCATGGGGGATAATTATTCACATTTGAGTTTTAAGAAGTCTCAGAGACCATTAGCAGGAGAACTTAAAACTGAAAATCAGTTTACAGATGGGTTTAAGTCTGTATAACACCATTTATTTATGGTTGAGTATCTCGCATATGCCAATGTTGGTAATTCCAAGTCACACAATAATTTGAGTGATCTTGTGTCATGGCTCTTAAATATCAACTTGTGTGATGTTTCAGAATAAATAAATGATGAAATACAGCCTAATTAAACCAATACAGCTGCATAGTAACTTCTTTCCAAATATTCTTGGATGCTTTGAAGATTAAATCACACAATTTAAAGTGATGTTTTATATATAACTCTAGCCTGCTTTATTCTTTCATACTGTCTGAAAGTAAAAATATAGTGGCATGTGATTTTTTTTGTGTGTGTGTGTAAATTTCCTGTATTGAGTATCAAAATGAACTTTTTCTATGATGCAGTTAATGTTTTGGCTTTAGGGTGAAATTTTGTTTGCTTTTTTAATCTGGTAGTTGCATCATAATTTTTTTTTCTTATTTTGTTGCTTTGTTGATCCAGGTTTTCCAGCAGTTTGGAGATATCCTGTTAGTACAATTAATTTAATAAGAAACATTGTGTAGATATGGAAATACTGGAAGTATATAAAAGCTGCTTTTAAAAATACATACAATGCCCAAATTTTTTCTGATCCTACGTTTAAAAATAATACAGTGCACGTGTGTTTCATGGTTTTACAAAGTACAGATCTTGGAAGGAGATGTAGGAGAAGAAGAGATGTCTGATTTATTCATGATGGTGGAACACTAAACCCAGAACATGGGGTAAACTGCCAAATATTAAAGATTAAACTTGGTACATGCAATAAAAAGCAAATTGCCAGTGAACAGGACACTGTGTGTGACTGCAGTGTGTGAGAGCTTTCATACATGCTGGGAGGGGGAGTGGGAAGAGAGCAAAGAGCAGGTTACATGAACAAAGAGTTCTTAGAAACTGCAAAATGTTCACGTTGTGCTCACGTGTCAGCAGTAAAAATCCATAATTTTTATGTTGAGGGGAAAGAATCTGGCGTGAAAACTGCATTCAAGTTCTTTAAAGTTTGAGTGTGTTGTGAAAGCTGTAAAAAAAACCCCAAACACACTGGAAGAGTTCTATGTTTTTATTTGCTTGTGCAGTCCATGTCACCAGAAGACCTGATCACTTTTACCTTGAGACCCACAATGTGCTGCAGACAAGATTGATGTAGCATTTTATGATAAGGAATTGGATAATCAGCTCTGCTGCTGTTCCCTGGTGCACGGGAAATCAGGATTCAAAGATCTGGTGTGAGTGCTCTAACAAAAACATCATTTCTCTTGGCAGACCCCTTACCATGTGAACCTTCTCCTGGCTGGCTATGATGACCACGAGGGCCCTGCCCTGTACTACATGGACTACCTGGCAGCTCTGGCAAAGGCTCCCTTTGCAGCACATGGATATGGAGCATTCCTTACCCTTAGCATCCTTGACCGCTATTACAAGCCAGGTGAGTGGAGCCACTGGACAGGAAAATTCTCCTGCTTCAATTTAGGCCTTGAGTTTATTAACCAGTGAGACTGACATTTGGTGAATCAGGTGGCATTGCTGTGGTGCAACAGATTGGAACTTGACTTTTTGTTAGATAAATGGAGCTCGAAAGGTTGCCTTTGGTTTTGCTAGCATGGTAACAGAAAACTAGTCAACTCCTTAATTTTTTTTCCCTGTTTCCAGCATACAGACTGGAAATAAAGGACATTTCAGTTATTCTAAAATATGATTAGACTTTCCTGGACCATTGGCAGCTGGTAGTCTGCTTTTAATAAGTAACAGTTTGACAGCTCTATCTTCTTTCTTGTCTGTTGGCTCTGACATGTACATTTTCCCAGAGTATCAATATGCAGAGGTCAGTCCCAGATCCTGTTGCACCATATCTTGGATTGGCTTTGTCTATGATAAATTTAAAACATTCAAATGAAAAGATATTCCTAGCAAGATCATCTCCAGCACTCTGAAGTGGTGATGATGAATCACAGAGTGTGGAATGGTTTGGGTTGGAAGGAACCTTAAAGCTCATCTCATTTCACCTCCTGCCATGGGCAGGGACACCTTCCACTGTCCCAGGTGCTCCAAGCCCTGGCCAGCCTGGCCATGGACACTTCCAGGGATGGGGCAGCCACAGCTTCTGTGGGCAATGGAGAGGTTTTAGACTGATTCACAGTTCTGTGCACTTGGCAGCTGCTCATCATAACTCTTGTACATGTTTGTACCTGTCTAAACTTTTAGTTTAGACACATAATCCAGTGCCAAGGAATATACATGGCCCCATCCCCACTGTGCAGATAAGGAAATGTGCAAAGCACAGAATATTGTTAATCTGACATCTTTGGCTTTAGGTACAAACTATTTGACTCCTGTGTGCAAAGCTGAGTTTAAGTTATTATCTCTGCTCTGAGATTAGAAATCCTTTCATCTACCTCCTTCAAGAAATGTAGCTATAAACTGATCATTTTCATTTAACTTGCCTGAGCAGTGGATGCAGGTCTGGAACAAAGCCTAGAAAGAAGTTTTAGACCCATCGACCCTGTTTGTTTTCTAGTCATGTCCCTCAACAATCTATTGTTCCATTTTCACCATTCCTTGTGGAACAGAGGAAAATAATGAACTTCACCGTCATGGCTTGTCACCCCTACGGAGTGCTGGATTTTATCCTGAAGTGTGAGAATAGCAGGAGCATCCCACACGTGCCTTGTCCCTTATTGAGCTCATACCCAGCAGGAACATCACGCTAAACCCATCTCCACCTCCTGCCCTGGACTCGCAGCCGGCCGGGGCAGCTGGAGCTGATTTAGAGCTGCAATAAACTGCAGGAGAGGGAGGTGGCTGGGCTTCTCTGAGCCAGGCCCTGGCCATGGGAGGCAGAATTCCGTCATGCTTCCCATTCCCTGTAACAAATCGATTCTCAATGGCTTGTTGGGGCGTGAGCACTGCGGTGCAGGGCGTCCTCGGGACATCTGGAAAGTGTTTTCTGTGAGCTGGGAAGGAGAGGTTTTGGTGCTCAGCTGAAAAGTTGTTTAAATTTAATAAAAGTTTCTGTGGAGAGAGATGGCCTCTAATGAAATCAATCTGTGGATGTTTTCCCTTTCAGGTATCACACGTGAGGAAGCTGTGGATCTCTTAAAAAAATGTCTGGAGGAGGTGAGTTGCTGAGCTCAGGCCCTGATGCTCCTGAGAAAGGAATGTTTGTTTGCATTCATTCGCTGATACTTTCCTGTTCCTCTTGTCGCATTTCTTGCTGCCTTTGCCAGAAGGGTAATAAAGGCACTGGCCAGATGTGGAATAGCTACTGAGGAAAAGGATTTAGAGGCAGTTGCATTGCCTTTGCACGGTTCACGTCCTCCAGAACGTAAACTTGAGCTTTTTGCGTGCTTAGCGTAATACTGATCCTGACTTTTTCCTCTTACGTTTCTTCTGAAAGTACTGCAGCATGCTTGTCACTTGTGTTACACTTAAGAACTCTTAGAAGCATAAACTAATTCTTTTCCAGCGTGTGAAGTGATATCTGAGGTAAAGCCTTGACCTTAAAGTTCATGACCAATTTTAATGTCAACATTAGACTCCAGACATTTCAGACACCAAGGCTTTTATTGTAGGAAAATAGTCTTTATTCTTGTCTTTAAGAGATTGATTTGGATGTAACATCAAGAAGAAGTGTTCTGAGGAGGTCCTGTCTGAAGTATCTTTGTCATATGTACACTTTGTGTCCAAAATTTTAGCCCACTTAAATGTCTTCCTTGTTAACAGGCCTGGCTATTTTGCATCTCTGCCCGAGGTTTGTCTAATGTGAACCATCTTACAACAAACTCCCACTAATTCACTCCTGAGCAGTGAAAAAACCCGCTCTAGTTCCTAATATTTTGTGTCACTAGAACCAGGATGGAAATTGAAAGTATACTCTCTTTGATACAAAAGTTTCCAAGTATAATGGATTTTGAAATGCACTTTTAACTCACCTGGCAATGGTTCTGTTACTGGGAAAGAGCATTCTGCTGGCACAGTGGGTTCATCACTACACTAAATAGAATTTAAGTAGTAGTTTAAATAGAAACTAATATATCAATTGTGTGATATTTCTTAATTGATGTGTCTGTACATTTAGAAGTACATGAAAGCAGTTCAGTGAGAAATTAAACTGCAACACTCCTCATAAATCTTTGAATTACTCTCAACTAGCTAGAGCTTTGTTTCCTTGAGAATAATCCCTGATTATCCATCTAGGCTTAGGATGCTGCTTCCCTATGAAACCCCCATTCATGCAACAGCCTCATAATTATCATGTGGCTGATACGTGTGGTCTGCTCAGAAGTGATTTTTCTGAGATCAGTTTTTGGTGTGACTCCTTTGCTACTTGAATTGGCATTAAAATTGCTCTGGGTGCTTATTTTTCTGTTTGAATAAGCTCAGAAAAAGAATCTTGGAAATAGGGTAGACGTGTACAGGATAGTGTGCAGACTGATAGTTGTGTGTTGTGGCACAACACCCAAGTTCTCAGCTGGAGAAGGTGAGTGACAGACTTAATTTGTCTAAGCTTTTTGGTCTTAGCTCAGTGGTCTGTTTGAGAAGGTTCATTTCTTCCCAAAGAAAAGTTGTCAGTCTTAAAGTATTCCTGTCTTCTGGAATGGGTGAGAACTGGGTAAGACTGAGACTTGCTTAATGACACAGAAGAAATTTGCAGCTCCAGTGCCTTAACTCACCCTGCCTCTTACTTAAATCTGATTCTTCCCTGGAGTCCCATCAGGCTTTGTAGTTAAATTCTTCCCAGAATGAGTTTAATTACAGCTGGTTTTGCTGTAATGACTGCAATGGCTTTTATTTAAGGCCAATGGCACAGAACTCTAAAACGTTTTGCTAAAACTCACTCTATCTCTTGAAAACCTTTTAAACTTTCACACTCAGCAATCTCCAGCCTTATGATTTCCTCTTGGCAGGTCACATTTAACACGAGCAGAGTCGGAGCGTTGTCGTTCTGCCACTGAAATCTCACCCCTTCGTGTTGCATTAATCTACTTGTTTAGCTTAATGCAGCATCTCTAATTTATTTTACCACTGATGTTGAGTGTTTTTGCAGGTTTCTTGTCTCATTTCAAACTCATCACTGCAGAGGGGCTGAGCTGATGTGATATTTTTGTCACTGCATATCAAAGCAGCGATGCCTCTTCATTGGAGGGATTCATTGTTCAGACACCAAACTGTGCTGTGGAGCTCTTGGAGGATGTGAGCCTGGCAGAGAATCTGCCTGGAGTTTTTATTGGCACCTATTTGCATGCAGGTGATTAATAAACATAAAACAATTATTCTCTGGTTGGATCCAGGTTGGAGGGGAACATATGTTTTGCCCAAGGGCAGGGCCTAGGATCTGAATCCCCCACGGAAAGGAAGATCCAAGGGGTTGCATCTGAAGCCAGTGGAGCAGCAACCTTGAGGAATGAATAAATACAGCCCTTGACTCCAAACCAGGAACAAAAGAACTGGCCCACGATGAGATTGGACTGTAGCCTCTAACAAAGGAGATTTTTTTTGAGGACTTTCCAAGAATTCAAGCTTTTTAAGGAAAAGTGTGATACTTTTGCTGCATAACTTACTTTTTAAAATGTGCTGATACTCAAATTCAGAAACCAGTTTTGATTTTTGACAGTATTACATGGAATCTGTTTGAAAAACCAATATTTAAGTTAATAAAAGAGTAGAAAACTTCTTACCTGAAGAAGTTCAAGTTTAGCCCTGAAGCTTCTGAAAACCATATTTTGCCTGGAATCCAGGAATCCCTTTTTGAAAGAATTCAGTTCTCCATTTGTATTTGTCATGACAGGCCTCTTTCATGAGAAATCCCTGAAATAATTGAGCACTGCAAGAAAATACTGCTTTATACTAATTTTTGTGGTTCATATTATGAGCAATGAATGTAGTAGTCAAGGTACCTTGTTCCTGGGGCACTGTGGCCATGGTGAGCTGCTGTGCCTTGCCTTGCCTGGTAATTCTGACCATATGTTTTACTCTCAAAGCCTCAGGGCCCAAAGAGTTAACAAGGCCCTTTTTCTCATGTTAGGTTTCCTGTTTAAGGATGGTCTTTTCCTGGGGAGCAGATCATCACCAGCTCATCTCTCCAGAGCTTGGAGTTAGCTCCAAGATCAGTTTACAGATTCTCTGTGCCTTAGGCCACTTTGGGTTGGGAGTGCTTTGCTGAAAGAGGAATGTGAGCGTAGGTGCAGCTTTTTCTTGGTGTTAATTACACCTTTCCATGGAAGAAAATCTGTGTTTTGGGATAGACCTCCCTGTGACCAGAAGCATTGGCCCAGAGGATCTGTCAGAGCTCAGCTGCCTGGTGGAATTGGTCTCACAGAAATTTGTAACAATGCCAAGACAGTTCTGCTGCCTAAAAGTGACTCCACAACTCAAAAGTTGTCTTGAGTGAAGTGACAGCCAAACAGGGACATCAATCAAAAACTGTAATGCCTGGAAGGTGAAACTGTCTCCCATCCTGCTGTATTCACTTTTGTGGGGAGCTGCTGGTGAGGGGGAGCCCCCCAGGCTGATCCACCTTCCTTTCCCCAGGATTTCTTCAAGAAATGCATGGCCCTGTTCTGTTAAACCAAGAGATGCTCCAGCCCTGGGCAGGTGAAACACCTCAGACAGGGACAGGATTTCAGAGCAAATCTGAGTGTCCTCAGCAGAAATTAATGAGACTGCCTAATAATAATAATAATAATAATAATTTTTAATAAATACAACTAGAAATAAAGTGTGTGTGATCAATCCTACAGCATATTCTCAGCAGCCCCTGAGTTTGACTTCTGTTCATGGTGATCAGTCACTGGCAGAAGCTTTGTCACCAAATGGAGCTGTCACTTCCCAGAATCAAGATCTGAGAGCAGAGGGGAGAGATGAGGCTGAGCTCTCCCAAGGATGTGTTTTTCTTTGCTCTTGTCTCTGGTTTTGACAGTAGGCTCCTCCAAGAGGCATTAGTCCATGCCAGGGCTGACATTAGGAATTATGCTCATAGGATTTGGTTGAGTCCATTTTCCCATCTGAAGCAGGGACAGAATATTCCTTTTGTATTCAATAACTTGGCATTTAAGGAATAAAATACCTCTGTTGACTACCTGTGAAGCACTGTATTTATATATTTAAGGAAAAATTAATTTATCCTACTTGTAAAAAGTTTATCCTTCAAGCCATTTTTAATTCTTTCAGGGTTTAACCTTACATAGAGTTTCCATGTGTTGTTATCAGCCATCAACAGTAATTTAGTGCAGGAGATTTTCACTGATCAAGCTAAACAGACATCAATTGTTTTAAGAGATTAAAAAAAAAAAAAGGAAAATGTAAATGGTGGGATTAAAATATACAACTTGTCTATTTTCCATGCCCTTGACTATGTTGGTTTAGATCTGACTGGTTGAGGACTATATTAAAAAATAAGTTAGTTGTCCTGAAAATGTAAAGTGACAGTTTAAGTGTTTTGTTTCTGTGCTAATGTGCAATTAGGTCGTTATCCAATAAGCTGATTCATGTAGTTTAACTCGAGACAGCTGTGGAAGGCAGAGAAAACCCTTTGCTGTTGGGGCATGGGGAGAGGGTGTCTAAAAAGATCTGTTTCAGAATGCCAGGATGGTACTTTCCCCTGTGTCATACAGTAAAGTTAGCAAGATTTGTGAAAAACTAAATTCTGCTGATCAGGTCTATAGAGAGAAAATCAAAATGAATGCCAGCAAGTGTGGAATAGTTTTTGATCTATAAATCAACTCTAAGACAGCCCTACAAGGTGGGGCCAACCTAATCACGGGATCCTCTGAAGTGATTTCTTGGTTGGGTGTGTTTTGATTTGGTTAAATTACCTTTTGCTTAGTAGAGGTTTCCTTGATGTTGTTAAATATTTCTCGTGTTTATGCACAAACATGAAAATTGTGGATCTCCTCGATTTAATTCACATCAGACAAAGGAAACTCTGTCTTTTTTTGTGTCAGTATTTTGGGAATTATTGACAATATCCTGCTAGTGTACCACCAAAACATCCGTGGGCCTCAGTGGTGCTTGATCTCCCTTTGCCAAATGTTGCACTGGGAATGTGGCTGATGCCCTTCCCTGCTCCCAGAGTTTTTGGTTTGTAGGGAACTCCCGTGTGTCTCCCCAGCTCTGGATTCAGCAGAGGGCAGTGATCTTGCACGCTGCTGCCTTCTCCCAAACTGGTTTGTCCTCTTCCTGCCTTGCAGATCCGCTGGTGGTCACAGAACTCATG